TTTTTAAGGTTGAGATTGAATTAGAAGATCTAATTGATGAACTTCTGGAAAGAGATGGAGCTGCAGGTAAACTACCTGTGTTTTTCATACAACTGCATGTTTTCAGTCATTAACCTATTTAATATAGGCAGTCTCCGAGTTACAAACAGACTTACATACGACTCCTACTTACAAACGGAGGCTATTACTGTACAGCAGGGGTAGTTGTAATGCTACCACGCTCGTGCCAACGAGGAGTGCCCACCTTTTTGTTTCTGGTTCATAGTACTGTATGTACATTACAGGAAGTTGGCTCTTGTTAGATATGCAGATGAGGGGTGCCCACCTCCTTCCTCCGGGTCACTGTAAGGGTTTTAACTGCTTTCTGTATCCTCAGAAAGATTTAATCTCACTTCCTGCCCTTGAGACAACAGGAACTAAGAGGAAATCTACCCCCGAGGAAGGGAAATTCACTCCTGTAAGAGTGATCATGGGAAAGAAGTGTCTCCACTGAAGCCTAATCACTAATCCTTGTTTCCACAATAACCCAAAATGTTCAAAATCCAATTGTTACAGGGACAGAAAGTGATTTGAAATCTTCTGAACAGGGGCACACACAGCAAAACAAATGTTACAGGGGGTTAACCCTTCCCTATGCTATCCAAAACAACAACAACATTTTTTTGGCTGGAGTTACACTTAAAAAATTTACCTGTTCCAACTTGCATACAAATTCAAGTTAAGAACAAACCTACAATCTATCTTGCTTGTAACCCAGGGATTGCCTGTACTTTACAGAGTTCATATTCCTACAGCTTTGCCATCTGCCTTTGCCATTTTCTCAGATAAATCCATTCCATGAGTGTTTATCATTGTCTGTTATCCATTGGGGGCAAAGCATTATGGGGATAGTCTCTATGACCCACCCACAAAAGCATTGACCCTAAGAAAGTTGACCCGTGAACTTTGGGCAATATACTCCCTAGCAGTGTGGAACTTTTTGGGTTTTAACATTTGTGCTGGTCCATCTGTTTTTTTTTGGCGGACACAACAAGCCTTTGGGTTGTATGTTTGTTTTTCTTGGAAGGCAAGACACTGAGAAAAGAAAGTCCCTGTAAAGCAACTAGTTTTCAGGTGGTGGGGGTCCTCTCCGCACACCTTAGCAGTCCTGGCCAAATAAGAACGATGGTGCTCGCAATGACTATCTCGGATGGCACCGTGCAAAATACAAAGTAAAAGAAACAGGTCACCAGCACTCGTTTAGAATAAATATGTCCTTTTTTAATGGACAATTGTGTCACTACAATCAACTGAGCCGACGTTTCGGAGCCGCACAGGGTCCCTTCAAGGCAGTAAAATTTTACTGCCTAGAAGAAGGGACCCTGTGCGGCTCCGAAACGTCGGCTCAGTTGATTGTAGTGACACAATTGTCCATTAAAAAAGGACATATTTATTCTAAACGAGTGCTGGTGACCTGTTTCTTTTACCCTGTAAAGCAACTGACAACTACTTCATTACCTTAAAATAGCCATAAAAGAAGTACCGTAGTCTGAGTTAACAAAGTTATTTAAGCTTTCTGGCTGGCATCTGAAGTATGCTAAGATGTATCTAAATTCTTATCGCCTATCCACTAACAGGTTAACCATGGGGGAGATAATTTGCCAGTCTCAATGTCATTGAGGTCACAATCAACGTCTGACCATCTAAACTTTGTAACCAGATGCCCATTAAGACTTGCTCTTCACTATGAGGCATACCCTGCTGTATTGGCAACTAATCAGTATTTGCTTATTGACAAACAGTTGCTACAGACCTTTTTGGTATTCTCTTTTCTCCATCATTCTTTGGGAGACATAACATTTCCTGGGACCTTTCTGCAACCAGTTTGTGGCATAGATATTCTGCACTGCGTACATTTTCACCTGTGGACTTCCCCTATCTGTTTTTGCATTAGGATTTTGGCCTGTAGCTTCACCATAGAGATGAGTGGATGTCCTATTGTCTTTTGATGTATGTGAATAATTCACTATTCTTGTGTGGTAATACCTTAAGACAATTGTTTTTGCCTTCTCCTTCTATTGGCTGTAGTAGTAGAGTAGAGACCTCTGCCAAATGCTTATTAATGTCTGGTTGGGTTCCTGTCTTGCTTATGGCTAATAAACGTAATAGCTGTCAAATGTTTATTTCATGCTTTCTCATTCTGTAGTAAGTCGTGTTGAAGATGAATCGCAGGAAGATGTGCTCATGGATGAAGCTCCCACAAACTTAAGTCAGGCTTCCACACTCCAGGCTAACAGGGAAGGTTAGCAAAACTTTCTGTTCTCCAGGATAGTAGTTTCCCTCAAAAGCTTTCCATTTGTAAGGCATTGATTTTTTTATCAAAGCTGCAAACAGTGCTGGAATAGTCAGTTTACTATGTCTTCACATTAAAGAACAACTATAAGTCGCAAGTAGGTATGCACTGAAATTTCGCCCATCGAGATTATTTTAAATGAAAATGGTACTTTGGGCAAAATGCAGAAAGTACCTTTTGGGGGGGGGGGGGGGAAATGCAGTGCATCTCTAGTTTTTCTCCTCCCCATTGGGGCAAGTAATAGTGGTGTTCTCTTCCCGCACCGCCCAGCTTGGCCTACTGTGACAAGCAAATCAGAATGGAAAGTGGGGAGGTGTCAGCTGTCACAGGAGGCAGAGCAGGAGGTTTATGGAGGAAAGCGCTGTGATGGGGTGTCACAGGAGGCTGAGCTCCCCTTCCGCCCGCTCAGCCTTCTGTGACAGCGAGTCAGGATGGAGAGCGGCTTAAAAGCATTTAGCGATCAGTTGATCGCTGAGTGTTTGTAAATAATTGAGGACATGGTAAGCTTACTGTGTCCCCAATTATGAATGAATAGGAAATGCTCTACATCACTTCCTGTTCATTCATGATTATGGACATAGTAACTGATACTATCTCTTTAATTTATGAATAGACGGGAGCACTCATTATAGAGGCTTCCTGTTCATTAAGAACAGCGGCTGCAGAAAAAGAAATTTAGGACTCTGTGTCCTCAATCTCTTTTTCTATGTGTTTTAGATCCCTGATATTTCACCAAAGCCCCAACAGTAAAGAAAAAATGCAATAGGTAATTCTGTGCCGCCTTTGTCCAGAACAACTACTGATAACACTTGGCTCCAAGCCAACTTACAGGCAACTTACTTGAAGATGGAAGTGGGTAGAGGATCTCCTGCGTGTAGTAAACAATTGTCAGCTTGACACCTATTTCTTTCTGCTTTTCAGCATAGCCTCTTGCCATTATTGATAAGTGTACTGGAGAATGTCAAATTTGCCTGGACAGTACTAATTAGCTTTATTGTGGGGGGCAAAAAAAGGATTATTTGGCTCTGTTGCCATATGTTTTTCAGCCTTGCCTTTTGATTTATAAGAACTGCTCTAAATTATTATTACTACTATGAAAAAGTTTTACATTTTGTTGTGTTGCCACTAGTTCTTAAATCACAAGTGTTATTATTTAATCAACATTATAACTTCCCATTTTTCACTGTAACAGACTCTATGAACATCCTAGACCCAGAAGATGAAGAGGAGCACACCCAAGAAGAGGACAGCAGTGGCAGCAATGAAGATGAAGATGACAGTCAGGAAGAGGAGGAGGAGGAAGAGGAGGAGGATGAAGATGATCAGGTACACTTGAGTCCTAATTTGTTGTAGAACATAGCTTTAGTAATGTGTTGTATTAATATGGTTACGTAATGCCATGATCTGTTTAGGATGATGAAGAGGGTGAGGAAGGGGATGAAGACGATGACGACGATTGCTCAGAGATGGAGCTGGATGAGGATTACCCTGACATGAATGCGTCACCTCTTGTACGCTTTGAGAGGTTTGACCGGGAAGATGACCTCATCATAGAGTTTGATAACATGTTCTCCAGTGCAAGTAAGACTTTTTTATATATATAAATAAGTAAGCACAGTCTACAGAGTCACAGATTCAAAATAGGTTATCATGCTGATGGTTTTTCTCTTCTTCTAGCTGACATTCCTCCTTCACCTGGTAACATCCCTGCCACTCATCCTCTAATGGTACGTCATGCGGACCATGGATCTCTCACTATTGGCAGCGGGAATTCCACCAATCGTTTGGCCCAAGGCATTGGTAGAAGCCAACGTACGCTCCGACAGATTACCGCCAATGCTGGCCACACCATACATGTTCACTATCCTGGAAACCGGCAGCCAAACCCTCCTTTAATATTGCAAAGGTAACTGAGAAAGAGGTATTATACACATAGACTGTTCACATGTGTTTGTTACATTTGGCATTCATTGTGTTTCCTAGAATTTCAAGGTAGTTCACCTGTATTTGTCACTGGGATAAAGGTCTTTGGCCCATTAGATTATAGGCAGCACAGTATTTTGACAGTCTGCATGGGGGTAGTTTACTGCTTGTGCTCCTGATATCTTTCTACAGCTCAGACATTCGTGGTAGGTTAATTAGCTTCTGACCAAATAGATCCTAGAACGTGTGTTTATATAACTGTGCTAATGACCTTTTATTTGAAGGTTGCTCTGGTTAGAGATGGTACACAATGTATTCTCAGAAGCTCTACTTACTGTCTTAAAGTGACATTAAACCTTTTTATTTTTTTTATTTATTTTTTTACATTTATATACATTGAAGTCCTACATGGGACGCATATCCTGAGGTTTTTTTTTTTTTTGTAGTTTTCAATTCTTCATTTTCTAGTGGGTCCCCCCCCCTGCACGGGTGCCTCAATCAGCTAAGTGGCTGCTATGGAAGCACCCGTCCATGTGTGTTCCCGGCTATCCCCGCAGTAGCTGTGTGTGTCCATAGATGCACACAGCCCTGTGGCAGGCTACGCCCCTCCTCTCTGTCCAACAGGTTGATTGATGGCAGAAGGAGCCTATGGCTCCTCTGCTCTCAGTAACCTCCCCACCCCCGCAACCAGGAAGTTCAGGAACGGAGGTTCGGGGACCGGGGGCGGTGACGACGCTCTCAACAGAAAGTGTGGGGGATAGGGGACACAGGAAGGTACTGGGTATTTTTAGCTTGATGCAGAGAATACATTAAGGTAAAAAGTGCCCTGCCTTTAATGCTAAATACAGTTTAAAAAAAATAAATTAATATGGGCTAGGTTGAGGTTTCCATTTTGCTGATGCGTTTTTTATAAAATTCAGGTTGTTGGGCCCTTCAGCTGCGGCAGACATCTTGCAGTTGAGCAGCAGTCTTCCCCTGCAGAGCCGAGGCCGGGCACGCCTTCTTGTGGGCAACGATGATGTTCACATTATAGCTCGCTCTGATGACGAATTGCTGGATGACTTCTTCCATGACCAGAGTACAGCAACCAGCCAGGCAGGTCAGTGACATCAATTTTAAGAGACCGCTTGCTTTGAAAATAGCAGTACAGCATCTGATGTGTGTGTTTTAGTATTTATATTAAGGTAAGCTTAACTCTTTCTGCAGGCACGCTATCCAGTATTCCAACTGCGCTGACACGATGGACAGAGGAATGTAAAGTGTTAGACGCTGAGAGCATGCACGATTGTGTGTCAGGTAAGCAAACATTTTTTGCTTTATATAACTGATTGCTTTTTCCTTGTTTGATGCTGGATATACTGAATTGGTTTAACAGGTTATGCGTGATCGCTTACATCTATGGTGGTAAAGTGCATCTACACTTCGGTTTTTTTATAAGGTCTGCTGCAAACTTCTGTTAAGTATGCCAGGTCTTCTAATGCAGCTTCTTGTGATGGTGTGATGACAATGCTGCGCTGTTTATTAATTCAGAGCACAGTTGCCAGTCTCATTCAGGCTGTGCCTACTTGCACTACAGGGGATCAAAAAAGGTTGCTGCGGACATGGCTATCAGCATTATCATTGCTGGGTCACAAATCTGTAGCTTGTCAATCAGCACCTGGCTACGCCTAGTTCTGCCCACTGGATTCTAGATTGACAGCATTCCCTTTTTTGCTAAAGCCCTCCCACTTTAAGCTGCAGTATCTGGGAGGGGGCGGAGTGTGTGAGGCACAAATGATGGTTTTGGCTCAATGAGGGAAAATAATGGAGCATTTATGTTCACATTATGAGGCTCGTGCTTCACATTCCAACTAGATGTTAGTTTAGCTTGTCATATAAAGATTTGTTGTACTTCCTCATAAGATTAAAACCAGTGTACTGAGCAAGCTTTATTTTTTCCTAGCTAAGTGGGCCAAAATGGCGCCCTCTTGGGGGTTTTATTTTTTCATTTTGCACTTTAATTTAATTGTGCACTTTTAATGTGGGACCAGAACTGCTAGGTTGGATTGTGTTCTCATTTGCTTCTTGAAACTGGCCAATTAACGCCACAAGGATGAGATGACAGCACGTGGTCTATGATCTGTTTCAGGCTTTGGTTTATATGCATTGACATACCTGTAAAATGTTTGCCTGAATGAAGGGTTTTTACAAGTCGAGGGAATGGCTGGCTTCTCTATGCCGAAGGGTGCACCACAGGCCTCTATATTAAATTTCCTTGCTGGTATCACTAGCCTTCTGTGTCTTCACACTCTGTTCATTATCATTTATTTAGTATTGCCACAAGGAGCAGAAAAAGGCTCCATCACACTCCTCTTAGAAGTTTTAAAAACACTAGGGAGAAATTGGCCATAGTTACCTGCTGCAAGAAAATAAAATGATAAATGTTAGGGAATTGACTTCTGCTTTATATTGGTACATTTATGCATTTGATGCATTGGCAATCCATTCATATTTGTATGGAGGAATAAAAGCAGAGCTCACACTGGCTTTAACCGAGATCAGAGGCTCATGCACACTAGCCCTAAAGATGATAAAAGTAGTATTTCATTCTCAAACTTCTTTTTTTTTTTTTTTTAATCCACACCAAACAAATGCACTTCTAACTCTCTCAGCTCTGACTCCCTGAACTTTTTGTTGAGTACAAGATCACGAAGGGACAGCAGTCTCCAGCAGCTATCCAGCTAGCATGGTGGAAGGATGGGTGGGGAGCAGGAGAGTGTCTTGCCTTGCTGTGACCGTGTGTTGGTGGAACAGCAAAAAGTTTCCCCGCACACTCACCAGCCAGCATGCAAAAAAAAAACCTGTCTAACCGCTAAGGTTAAAAACAGAAGTTTTAGATGCGTCTTCTGCAGAATATGTGAAAGCCGCACTGCCTCGTAAAGGCCCCTCTGTGTAGTGCGGTCCTAACTCTAACCTATGAGAGTCTCCTTCTTGGAGCACATGTAGCAAAAGATCAAATTGGGTGCAGGTTCGCCAGGAGGCAGCCCAACCGCCTTAAAGGCATAGGGACACACAAGGGTCCCTATACCTTTACAACGGCAGCACATCACAACGGCAGCTGAGACCCCCGGTGTGTCACTGCACCAAATCAGTCTTGCAAAACAAATGGCAAACCCACTCATCAACTCATAACCAGCTTTAAAGCAAGATGCACATGGAGGGGCTCTAAACAGTATAACAGCAAAAAGTTTCCCAGCACACAACATTCAGCATGCAAAAAAACCTGTCTAACCGCTAAGGTTAAAATTAGAGGTTTTAGATACATGTCTTCTGTAGAAAATGTGAAAGCCGCACTGCCTCTTCAAGGCCCCTCTGTGTAGTGCGGTCCTAACTCTACCCTATGAGAGTCTCCATCTTGGAGCACATGTAGCAAAAGATAAAATTGCGTGTCATTTATTTTGCTTGTGTGTTGGTGGAACCATACACATCTTACTAGCACACACAATTGTTGCTGCATGGGACCCTGCAAAGGAAAGGAGCCACCCTGAAACAGGATATGAGGACCCCTGCTCACGGGACCAGCTGATGTTGCAGGAATCGAAAACACAAGGAGCACTATCCATCCAATCCATCCTTTCACTATCCATTGATAGCGATTTAATCCGCATTTGAAATACCTTGTCAACATTTTGATTTTATTATCATTTTACCCAGTTATGTCTTTTGCCCTAGGTGTGTTTTAAATCCTTTGTAAACCAAAACATGTTAAAATATGCAATTTCACAGTGAATTGATGCCATAGTGTGCCTTGTATTGTTTTTCTCCACAGTGGTTAAAGTTCCTATAATAAACCACCTAGAAGCTCTGCGTGATGAAGAGCTTGAGGAGCGACGGGAGAAAAGACGGAAACAGCTGGCAGAAGAGGAGGCCAAAATGGCTGAAAAAGCCAAAGAGGAGAAAGAATCTAAGGAGCAGAATGCTCAGGTCTGTGTTTCACTACTTTTGTTTTTTTTATATACGTTAAAGGAAACCCGTCATTGGAGAAATGAGGAGGTTTTAATCTTTCACTGTAAAAATAGCAGGTCCTTGGCGCAAGCTTGTGTTACTGACCCAGAACAAGCCAATTAGGGCACCTGTCTTCATGCTTGTGCTGGGCAAGTGACTGAGAATTGATGTAATGGTAAAAAAAAAAACCTAGCATTTTCAGGAGAAGGCAATGACCGCTCCCATATATTTTCTTATGGCATGTTTCATTTAAATTCCATGTATGTAAAATTGGCTCACCTGGGCAGCCAATTCTCCCCGTTGTTAAAGCAACTCAGTCGCTAGGTTAAAAAGTACACCCTGTTAAGAAAAAGTTTATCTGTCATGCCGCCGACCTTCGCTCTCCCTAAGTGCGAAGTTTGTAGAGGATCTTCAGCATCCAACACGTCCAGGTGTGCGTCATACTGGACCCATCTGTGTTTTTAGTGATGAAAGACCAAGGGGAAGTTTAAATCTGTCCTTTTTGTTCATAGTGTTGCTTTGGGAATCTGATATTAATTGTTTGTTCATTATTCTTATGCAGGCTGTCAATTCTAAGAGGAATGCCTCGTTTGAGCTGAGTCTTGCAGGTATTTTCTATAAGTAGTGTTTTTTTGGGGGGGGGATTCAGCTGTTTTTGTGTTTTTTTTTTTTTTGTTTTTTTTTTTTTGTTTTTTTTTCTTTTACAGGGTGGCTATGAAGGCTCCTGGATGTTTCAGGTTGAGGTAGTAGATTGTATAGTTTTGGGGTCACACCCGATCTGGGAGATAACTATACAATTTACTGTCTTTCCTGCGGCATCTCTTGGCTACAGTCTTGTTGGATGTGAACTGTATTATCTGTATTCTACCCTGAACCAAGCCAGGGAGGATTCGGTGAATTGGATACAAATATTCATGTGCTTCCTTCTGGGTGAGGTAGTAAGTTGTATTGTTTTAGGGAGCAGAGTTATTTTTTGCTCCTATTTGGTGATAACTATACAGCTTACTGCCTTCCCAGAGGTGGAGTATTTTACTTTGGGTACATGTGTATGTCATGCCAATAAACAAAATACACACACACACAGTGATTGCAATATTAATCTGATCATTTTAATTAATTTGAATGCTTTATATTTGAACAGTTGCCTAGTTTAAGTGTTAAGCCTGGCATCTTTTTAAAGATTACATTTGTTGTTTGCTTATGTATTTAGCCAGGAGCTCAGCTTGAAGCCAGTTTTTTGTGTCAGTGCTTGATGGAACATCTGTATTGTCATTATGCAGTTGTCCTCCTTTACTAATAGAAAAGGAGATGGTCCTTTCCTACCATGTATGCTTTAGTTGATCGTTTACCTTGTAAGTGATAAGTCCCGGCTCTGTATAAAATAAAAAAGGCATGCTTTCTGCGTTTTGTTCTAGTGTACTTTGGCTATGTAATGGGGCTGCAACAACGAATCAATAATGAGAATTGTTGGCAATGATTTTCATTGATTAATTGCTATATGATTAGTTGCCGCCGCTCTGTTCTTCCGTTCTCCCCGCTGGTGCTGGCTGCAGAGGTCTGTGTCCCTTTCAACCCCCGCCTGTATCGGCAGCGGGGACACAGACCACTGCAGCCGGCACCTGTCGTGCCTCCTCTGCCCCGGGCCCCCTCTCTCCTGGAATTATCCACCCTTGTAGAAAAACATAAGGGCAACCTGATGTACTTCAATGCACAATCGATCCTGGATCTGCAGGCTGAATTCAATGAGAAGAAAAAAAAAATTGCTAACATGGCTAATATACTATATATATTTTAAAAGTTTTCTGCTAACAATCCTATTTTTCTGATTTATTGTGTCTCCCCCAGCATACAATTTACTCTTTCCCAGCATACAATCTACTCTTTTATGGGCAAATAAGCATCCACGTATAACCCTCAATAACCATAAGAGGGTTTGAATTTTTACCCCCCTAATTTGTTTTACATTTTTGTTACGCTTTTCAACTTGCACAGATTGCCTTGGATAATGCTAGTGAAAGGGTGCTAAAACTCTTGCCATGATTTAATTTGGTCTATATCCTTGTATCTCATATAAAACTACATTTTGCCACCTTGGAGATCCACAACTCTTTTTAAGGATTTGGAATCCACAACTCTTTAAGAATTTGGTGAACTCAAGTATGACTTGCCAAAAAAATGAATGTGTCAAAGCTCTAGTGAATGAATCCTAATTAGTTTCTTTAACCACTTGACATCCGCGCTGTTAAACCCCCTTCCCATACAGGCCATTTTTCAGTATTCAGCGCTGCGGTACTTTGACTTTGACTGACATTTATTGAAAAAACGAGCACATATAGACGATCGGCGGGCTATGGAGCCGCCGATCGTCTATATGTGAAACACCCGGTAACGGGTGTTTGCATTGGTCGGGTCTTTTCTGCCCGTGCGTGCCCGCTAGGGGGCGCGCGCAGAAAAAAAATGCCGTCTGGCGACGGCAACCCGCCAATGCTGCAGTGCCGTCCGTCCGTTTTTTTACAACGGCGGATGGCAAGTGGTTAATTTGTATCTCTCCACATGATTTTACATATCTGACAGTCAAGCAGGAGCTTATTAAACTTAACTAAATATGCACATAACCCTCAATCTTGTATGGTGCAGCTACATGTATGTTTATGTAACTGGTATGTTATTTCACCCAAGATCAAGATGGTAGCGGACGTCCTGAGAACTTCCCAACTGCCCCTTCATCTGCAGACGGGACCCCGATTAGCCCGGAACTGGTTGCTCTGGACTCTTCTCTGCGTGCCCATCCTCCCGAAGCTGCTTTGGCAGATCTCCCTCAAAGCCTGCACACAGAAACTGGACCAGAAGATTCTGGGCAACTGCTAATGCCAACTGAAGCTGAGGATTCTGGACCAGGAAGGCCGAGCACAGAAGGGGAGGCCACTCAAATGGAGCTGTCACCTGCACCAACAATAAGTTAGTGTACCTCTCACATTACGATAATATGTTTATGTTAAGGCCAAGGTTAACTGATCACATTTTTTTTCCCCCTTTACATTAGCATCATTGTCCCCAGAGCGAGCAGAAGATTCTGATGCTCTTACAGCTGTTAGCAGTCAGCTGGAAGGCTCCCCTATGGATACCAGCAGCCTTGCGTCGGGTCCTCTGGAGGAGGGAGTTGGAGAGGCCTCTGGAGTTGTAAACCCAGATCAGCCTCTTGTTGTCACCAGCAGTATTGCAGTTGGCCAGCAACCTGTAGAACCTCTGACTACCAATGAGAGTCAGGTAGCTGCATCTCAGCTGAGCAATGAGAGGTAAGAAGTAAAAAAAGCAAAATGGTAAAATGGACATCAGTGTTTTCAGACTGATACTTTTGTAGAGTAATCCCCACCACTGTCTTGTGCAGTGCTAGTATAATCCATGTTTATTAAACGTGTATTCGTGGCAGATTTGGGTGGTTGTATACAAGGTTGTGAATAACTGTGGTAGCACTAAACACAAAAACAAAAAGGCCGTATAAAGGGCTTTAGATGTTTTGATTTCATATGATTTGTTCTTTTCTTTTTGGGGGGGGTTGAGCTCATACTCGATAAGTATAGAAAAATACCTGTTGATCTTGCCAGAAATGTCTTGAGGTTAACAGAAAGCACAAACAATCTACTCAAAATCCACTTGGCCCTATTGTAGTCAAGGTATACAAAGGCAGACATGTTTGAAGTGTAGCCTAAGTGGCAACCATGGCTACCTCTGAATACTTTGAAGGAGTGAACTTGGCCACCCAGAGACTGAAAGTGTTAATTTGCTGGATTACCAGGTTAAAAGATCAATCTTGTACAATTGCTTCATGCGTTGCCAGGATTCGCATGTGAATTCACATGCACATGTGAGGAAGTTGCGTCATCCCAAGCAAGCCAATCAAGATGGCTGAAGATAGAGAATCTTGGCGTATTTCCACTTTTGAAGAGGAATTTGGGAAAACACCACTATATAGTTGCGTTCCTACTCGCACAGCATTCATACAAATGTTTATCTTTTCAGATGTCTTTGTAATTTGGTCTTTGGAGCTTCCAAGTACAATTTCAGAGTGTCAGGAATTTCTGGCTGTCCCCATTGAAAGACTATGGACACTCTGAGCTTTCTCACATGAACATACAATGCTTTTAGATTTTTAACCCTTTGTAAGGACAGTGTTCAATTCAAGTTTTCAACTGATGAGTTCTGGCAACAAAATCCTCTCCACCTACTTGGATTTTTGAGGAAACTTCAGCTTAGAGAAAAAACATTTATTTAATTCAAGGGCAGGAAACATGTAAGCGGCACTTTTGTAGTAGAAAGACGGGTTTAGGAAATGTCAGTTGGCAGGGCTGACTACAGACTTTCTTGCAGATTAAGGCCTTGTTCACACCAAGCACGGAGCAGATCCAGAGCAGGTGCAGACCGTATCAAAACTGTGTCCAATGTATTCCAATGGTATTTTTTGCTCCAGTTCACATCGCAGCGTGCAGTTGCAGAGCAGATCCAGAGCAGGTGAAAAAACTGCAGCAGGCCCTATTTTACCTGCTCTGGATCTGCTCTGGAACGCATCAAAAATGCATGCCAATGCCTGGAACACACTGAAAGCCCATTTTAAAAAAGAGCCCGGAACGTGTGCAGAAACCTGACCGGATCTGCTCTGCATTTGGTGTGAACAAGGCCTAACAGGTGTTCTCTTTATATTGATAAAACAAATGAAAATGTGCATGTATTTCAAAGATGTACTGCATTTGTTTATATTTCTTTACCTTGATGCTTTAGCTTATTTCTTTAGTTCTTGTGATGTTACTGTTGTATGTTTTATGATCATCTGCCCTGAATGCTTAGGTATCTCTTTCCTTTCAGCTCCACAACAACCCCATCTAATGAGTTGCCTCCTACAAGAGATCCTGCTGTGGCCTTGTTGGCAAGTGATTCGAGTGGCATCCTGGAAGAACCTCTGCCATCTACAAGTAGTGAAGACGAGGATCCTTTGGCTGGTTGGTTATTTTGTTTTTACACCAAGCTTTTATAACCCGGCATGACGAGTAACTGTTTTGTATTAAATACGTAATAAAGCATTGTTCGTTACTATCCTCACATTTCTAGGTATAAATCTACCTGAGGGTGTGGATCCATCATTCCTTGCAGCTCTTCCAGAAGACATTCGAAGAGAGGTGCTTCAGAATCAACTGGGCATCAGGCCTCCTGCTCGCGCTCCTCCTTCTGCTGTCCCGGTCATTCCTCCGCCTGTTGTAGGAAGTGCTGGTGTCACTGAGGTCAGCCCAGAGTTCCTGGCTGCATTACCCCCAGCCATACAGGAAGAGGTATGTTGAGGCTTTTTGTCATCCTGGTAAATGAATTTCCTGCTTCCCTTTTTTCTTTCTCGTCCATTGAGACTCGGGTAGTTATTTCACCTTTGTGAGATACTGCTGCCTACAGGTGGATTGTACACTGTCAAACAAGCCCAGGATCACCCCTACTACCGCCAGCATGCCTCAGTTGTTAGTGTTCTAAGAAGATGAAGGTCTTTTTTATTTTTCCAATTTTGATGTGTAAATTCCATTTTGGATCTAAAGCCACTGAATGTCTTTGCTCACGCTCCAAAATTCCATATGGAGTCCACCAGGTCTGTCATTGCCTCCTTTTACCAGAGAGACTTTCTAGCTTGCTGGTGTATCCCTACGCTTCTAGTACATGGTCCTGCCCTTCAGCCTCCTGTGTGCAGCCCAGGTGTTGGCTCCAATGCAAGCCCTGCTGCGCTTTTGTGTCATCCCCATTGTGGAATACTTAGATGACCTCCTGTTGGGGGATCAGTCTGACAATGTCGCTTTGTTCAAACAGCTGTTTGGATGGATCCGGAAGCTTCAGAAATCATTTCTAGAACCCATGGAGTATCTGGGTCTAGTCCTGGGCACAGTGCATGCCAGCGTTTTTCTCCTACAGGATCTGATATTTAACACTCCAGTCCAGAAATTATCAACACTCTGCTTTTTCATGAGTGCATGCATTTCTAGGGTGGTAGCCTCCTTCAAAACAGTTCTATTTGCCAATTGCACTCCAGACCTCTATTCACAAATGGTGTTTCTCCATGGGACAAAACCTTTCTTCCTACAGCTTGGTCTGGATCACTGCATAGCTCTCAGTACTTTCAAAGGTCAGGTATTCTGCTTTCTATCTGGTTTCACAAACCATTGGCCTTTCACTCCTTGATTAGGACCTTGGTTTAGTGTTTCTCCCATGTAGATCCCGGTTCATTCGTCTGTAGAACTGAATCTGGATTTCTTTGCACTTCAGGGACTGCTATTTGATCCCATTAGAGACCTTTCTCTCTATTCTCATCCACAATTAGCTTTGTGAGGCGATCTGTTTCACTAGCAGCCTTATCCTGCAAGGAACTTTTTCTAAATTTGCATAGGGACAAGGTGTTGAGGCCCAGGACTTCTTTTCTGCCAAAGGTAGTTTCTGCCTTTCACTTCAACCAGAACTTTGTTCTTTCGTCCCTCTCTCTGTCTCCAGTTATGTTTCCCTCCATTGTCTGGATGTGGTTCAGACATTGAGACTTTCTCGACCACCGCTTCTTTCTGAAGGACTGCTTTTCTTTTGGTCATTCCCGATAGTCCCTGTAAGGGTGCAGTAGCTTCTACGTTCCACTACGTTTAGCAAGCTCAGACGGACCACCATCCAAGCTTATGGTCTGATCGGGTTCCAGCCTTTCCTGTCAAGACGCACTCTACTAGAACTGTGTGGCTTTTCGACATCAAGCAACTGTTTCCCAGATTTGCAAGGCTTCTCACCTGGTCTTCTGTTCACATGTTCTACAAGGTGAATGTTGTGGACATATCTGATGCCAGCTTCAGACATGGGGTCTTTCAGTGCAGGTCCTTTTTAGCTGCAGGCAGTTCCCAGTTATTTGGGCCTGTTAGTGCCTAATTGCTGTGTTGCACACTCAGGCAACTTTTGGACATCCTGAAAGACTTCTGTGTCCCTCATTGAAAGAGATTGAAAATGGGCTATTTTGTACTCCCTGTTCCTTTTATTGGAGTCCATTGAGGGACACGGGTCCCTTCCCCCTAATAATAATTGTGCTCTCAGCACTGCTTTCCTACAAAACTAAGTCATGTTGGAGTGTAAGGCATTATCCTGGGCTGGCATACATATTTTTTTTGCCAGTGTCCTATTCTATTGGCAGTATAACCTGAATGTGAAAGACTTCCCATGTCACTCAAACGTTAAAAAAAAAAGATTTCACGGAGAGTACAAAAATCTTACATTAAATTCTTATTAGTGACTTTCTTTTGTTTTGGTTTTTAGGTTCTTGCACAGCAGAGGGCAGAACAGCAAAGACGGGAAATTGCCCAAAGCACCACCTCCGACACCCCAATGGATCCAGTAACCTTTATTCAGACTTTGCCATCAGATCTACGCCGCAGTGTTCTAGAGGACATGGAGGATAGTGTTCTAGCAGTGATGCCTCCTGACATTGCAGCAGAAGCACAGGCTTTGCGCAGGGAACAAGAGGCTCGGCAGAGGCAGCTCATGCATGAAAGACTCTTTGGGCACAGCAGCACTTCAGCACTCTCTGCTATCCTCAGAAGTCCAGGTAATGGAGATATCAATAACGGTTATCTGTGGCTGTAAATAGAATTGTAACGCGCACTGAGCGGCACCACATATAATGATCGGGTGCCTCTACAGCCGCCGTAACGCTTGTGTTTAAACAGCCATTGCTGGCTGTTTTTAATAATGACCGTTTCTTGCTCATGTGCGCGCTGGGCAGTGCGCAAGAGCAGGGGCAGCCAAGGGCATTTATAAACGCCCAGCTGCATCTAGGAAGCTCCCTTCCAACCATTTATTTACAAAGGCAGGACGCGCAGCGGTTAACCACCCTCAATATAAGCTACCTAGGTCAGGAGGTGCCCAAATTTAAGTCCCACCACCGGACTGTGAAATCTGGTCGTCCTCTTCACCCATCTGAGCAGGTGACTGAGCTAAGAGGGATGGAGGAGGTCAGGAGCAACAAATATAGTAGAATGAATGTATAGGGAGGATGTGATGGAATTCACAATGTAAGGCCAACTTGTGCCATAAAGCAAACATTTTTCCTAAGAAAAGTGTAAGCTATAAAGAATTATTTTAAGAACATATCAATGCAGAAGGTTTTTAGGAAAGTTATTAAAGATGTAAGCTTTCAAAACCACTTAGATCTTCAAAAGAGAAAATAAAGTTATTAACACTTGTTAAAAAGAAAAATACTTTCTACAGTATCCCGATGTTAATTTATTAGTTGGTCTCTGGAGTTCCTCTTTAACAGATAAGTGTGCCGTAAAACAATGTGCACTAATCCTTTTTGCCTCCCACATAACTTAATCCCACCCTTCCCCTCCACAAATCGTATGTACCAAGATCTGGCAGACACGGTTTTGCTGTTCCGTCTAGCACTGCGTTGGTTCCTCTGCTTGGTGCACCTGCATGTTACAGCCTAATAAACTTCTATGGGGTGTTCTCCCAGCCAGGAGAGGGAGACTAGCAGTGCTGGATGTCAACAAACAACAGAGCAGTAGTCTTCAGATGTCGTTCAGTATAGTCCTTCCGAGGGCCAGGGTGGGATAGTTTAGGTCAGGGGAGAGGGCAAAGAGAATAAGTGCATTGTGACTAAAAGTGCACTTATTCTTTAACCACTTGCTGAGCGGGGTGTTAAACCCCCTTCCTTTCCTTTCTTTCTTGATGGTATTTAATCACCCCTGGGGTTTTTATTTTTACTATAGTAAGGAAAAATTATCCAATTTAAAAAAAAAAAACTTTCCCTATATTATAATAATCAAAATGATCTGCGCCAGTCCAATCCAAGTGCGAACTACAAAGCACTACTGCTTATATTATATTATGTCGCCTATATTAAATGATAAAACAGTTATTACTCAATTTTTGGTAAAATATAAAAGTCGGGGTCACGTCGGGTAAATAGACACCAAACATGTCAAGCCTTAAAATTGCGCGTAAACCTTATAAAACTGCAGTACCCAAAATTGGCCATAGGCGACTCTTTAAAAGCTTTTATGGCTCATCAGTTTAGTGTTATCAGTGATTTAAGGCCCTAAAATTCTTGCTCTCACTCCGACGTTTGCGGCGATATTTAACGTGTAGTGCAATTGTCGTTTTCATGTGCTGGCGCACCTGATGCGTATTTGTTTATATGTCCGTTAACGTGGGGGACTTAAAACATTTTTGGGTTTATTTATTTTTTTTTCTACATTTTTTTTTTTTAATACGTAATGTTATTGCTATCACATAGGGGGGCTAACAATCCCCCTATGTGATAGCACAGATACACTGACCGGTCCTCTTTATGGAGACATTAGGGGTCTACGGGCAGACAGCAAGCAGTTAAACAATACAAATCCCGTCAAACTGTACAGATTATTCATGATCTGTTGGTCATACAACAGAGTGTGAAAAACCTCTATCTGTTAAAGAAAAAAATAAACCTTGACTTTCATTTTGTCTTTCCAGCATTTACAAGCCGCTTAAGTGGAAACAGAGGGGTTCAGTATACTCGTCTGGCAGTACAGAGAGGAAGCACCTTCCAGATGGGAAACAGCAGTACCCACACAAGGCAAGTGTTTTGTCAGATTTAGATGTAGGATTATAATCTGTGACAAGCTGATTTTCTTTTGAGAAGCCAGTCAACTAGCTTTTTCAGAAATAAGATCCATGATAGCAGCTTTCATAGTTATATAGTTAGGTTGAAAAAAGACACATGTCCATCGAGTGCAGGTCCACGATAGCAGCTTTCATATTACTGCCATGACAGCTATACTTTAAAGATGAGCTTCAGGCAATCTGCAGTTTAGCTTATAGCTGTATGTACATAACTACCGTGTTTCCCCGAAAATAAGACACTGTCTTATATATTTTTTTTGGCTCATAAAAACACACTAGGTCTTATTTTCAGGGTAGGTTTTATGCATGTTTTTATTTATTTTTTAATGTACAACAATCCACACTTATTCATGTACAAAAATATGGTGATCATGGGTGCCGTACCTTTCCAAGAGCAATTTGCTAACCAATCGCTGGCCAGAATGAGCAAAGCGCACTTTCACTATCGATTCCTCACAGGCGGAGTGCATTTGGTATCACTCCGCATGTGACAGGAGCCGGTGATATAGAGGAAACATCGGCTTATGCAGCTCTGCTCCCTCCGGTTCTGCCTTGCTTCCTCTAGCGATGGCTTCGTTGGCACCGCTGATTCTCTTCGGCCTCTCTAGCAGCTCTTCAAGTTTCCCCTTATGCCACCATCAGCCCTATGAATGGTCACAACTAGGTCTTATTTCCAGGTAGGTCTTATATTTTAGCAATTCCCAAAAATAGTACTAGGTCTTATTTTCGGGGTAGGTTTTATTTTCGGCTAAACAGGGTAACTGCAAAGGTTCAACTTATAGTATGTTTCATATAAGACAGTTTACATGATTTGCCACCATATCTAACATTTAAGAAACCGTTGTGGTATTTGCGTTTACACAAACCATTTTTTTTCCTCTCCTCCTAGGCCTGCAGGCAGTAATGTGGATAGTTTGCTCAGGCTACGAGGACGGCTATTGTTGGATCATGAAGCCCTCTCATGTTTGCTCGTGCTGCTTTTCGTGGATGAGCCAAAACTCAACACCAGCCGTTTGCACAGAGTTTTGAGGAACCTCTGCTACCACGCACAAACCCGAAACTGGGTCATCAAAAGCCTTCTGTCAATCCTGCAACGCAGCAGCGAGAGTGAACTCTGCATAGAGAGTCCCAAGAGCTCTTTAAGTGGCCCTGATAAAAGGGGTGCTGCCAAGGGTTGTTCTTCCAGCCACGATAGTCGTCCCTTAGAACTGCTGCACAAAATAGAGTCCAAAAACTCCAACCAGCTTTCTTGGCTGTCTGTCTCAATGGATGCTGCCCTTGGATGCCGAACAAACATATTCCAAATCCAGAGGTCATTGGGACGCAAGCACACAGAGAAGCATGCTGCTTGTGGCTCCACTGTTCACATCCACCCTCAGGCTGCCCCTGTGGTGTGCAGGCATGTGTTGGACACCCTTATACAGTTAGCCAAGGTAAGTGGAAATGTGGTTGAGAAAACTGAATGCATAATGTACATATTGCTTTAGAAAAGCATGGCTCAATTAAGTTTGCTGTTCGTTTTGGAAGTCTTTTCCTCGAAGTAAAACAAAGTGGACCTGTTGCTTATTAAGCAAATGTTGCTTCGGGTTGAGTAGGGTTTTTTCTCACTAAAGAACAAACAGATGCTCACTGCCAAAATAGGTTTTAAGTATATCAGTCAATTAAAAAAATGTAGGCCCACCTCGCACCGCGTTCTCACGCGTCTGCTTTTGTTTGCCCACCAAGATTTTGCACTGCCGTCGCTTGGTCCCAGAGGTGAGGACACAGAAGTGGTTTCTGTGTCAAGTTAGCTAATATATGTAATATCTAACTTGACTTTACAATTCCTGAAATAAGCTGACCTTGCTATTTTCTGCTTCCAATGATAACAATACAATGGTTAAATGAAGCAATGGTCTTATTTATACAGAAATATAAATAAACATATTAAAAGATAAAATAGCTACAAAAGTAGTTCATCAATAAGACAATAAAGAAAATACTTTACGTAGCAAGTCCATCCTCTGGTTCTATGTCTTGGCTGGGCTCAGAGAGAGAGAGCAATATGGCTGAGCACTGGCTTTTATAGTACACAGGACCCATTCATACACGTACATCGACACCCCTTTTACCCAGAATTCCGTATGTCCCTTATAGGTCTTTCGGCCAATCCGCATCTTCCTTCATATTTGTCCGCATGCACTGAAGTCCTCCAGCCGGGGGCACCATCGTACTGCATGTCATTCCTCTGCCTAGGTCAACACCTCGCCCTTTGATCCTTAGATAATGGACAGACACCTTCAAATGCAATGCAGGATATCTTGAGGGTGTCTTCCAAATGCGCATAACCCCCATCAACACCACAGGGTGCAACGAGTGACGTCCTGTCCAGGTGATTGAATCTCACCTTTATCACTTCCCTTGCCATGCCTCCTGCGGGGATGAATACCATGGCCTCCAGCACTTCTAAGGGCCTGTTCACACGACGTCCGTTTTGTGTGCTGACCGGCTCCGTACGCTGCTGCACTCAAAATGCATCCCAATGTATCCCTATGTGTTTTATGGGCTCCAGTTCTCACGTGCGCAGTCCGTTCAGCTTACGACAGAAAAAATACAGCATGTCACATTTTGTCCGGTCAGGAAACGCAAACGCGTCAAGAACGCACTGCACTGCAGCTAACCTACTAACAGCCCCACTCCAGCTGGAACGCGGCAAAAACACACTGCATCAGTCTGCAGATCCGCACCTGATCTCATGTGAACAGACCCTTAAACACAGCTGGTTTCATTGACCCATGCAATCTTAGATTCAACATTTGAAGATAGATGTTTACCAGTTTTAGTACATGAAAATATTGTACATTCCAACATTATCCACTCACTCCAGCCTAACTCAAAGCAGTGTGGAATAGGGGCGTACCTGGTCCTGTGGAGAGCAGGCATGCTTCACACAATGTGAGCTCACTTGTTAGCAGCCGGGTCTTCATCAAGTCTAATAGAATAAAAGCCCAGTTCATTTCAAGGGTGACTGTATAGGGCCTGAGGCTGATGAACTACTAGCATGTATTCTTACCGTGTGTAGTTTGTAAGGTTTGTGGGAGTAATCTTTTTGATCTTGAAATACTGATTAAACAGCAGAATCTCTTGGTAGTGATTGCTAGTCAGAGACCATGTGGCCTGAGCTGGGCAGTAGCATTTTACTGGTATGCATGGCAAGAAAGAGGTATCTTTTCCATTTGAGATGTTTTTTGGTACAGTATGGATGTGCACTATTTATTTTTAAAGTGTAAATTTCTATTTAATTTAAATTAACTTAGACATTTGGCTGCCTCTACTCAGTATATTGTGTCTGAACAGGAGTGAATCTATTAAGGGACACAGGCAGTCTTTCACCTTCGAGTTATTCTGCTTCCTACAGCAGCATTTTACACTGGCAGTCATAAAAACTGTGGGCCAGCCCAGGAAAGCTCCTCCCACTACCAGCATGCCTTAGATCTAAGGTAGGGATGGCCAAACTCTGGCCCTCCAGCTGTGGTGACACTACAAATCCCATGAAGCATCTCTCTCCGGGAGTCGTGGCTGTGAGAATCTTGCAAAGCCTCATGGGATTCGTAGTTCCACCACAGCCAGAGGGCCGCAGTTTGGCCATCCCTGCCTTAGATCCTAGGCATATGTCCTAGGATAGACATCTGCTCTTAAGACCAATCTATTTTCTTGCTGGCACTTTTTTGTTTTTCGTTAATGTCAACTATTCTCTATCGATTTTAGTTGGTTAGATCCCCTAGTTTTCTCCTCCACGCTGGGAGGAGGGCACTGCAAGCAGTGGGCAGGTGCAATAGCCAGCCTACTATTGGCTATTGCAATTTGAAATGGCCAATAGCTGGCTGGCAATTGCACCTGCCCACTGCTTCCTGTATTTACGTTCAGCTGGCCTCTGCGGAATCTTGTCCCTGGCAGCTGTCATTCCCTGGGTGAAGCTTTTCAAGCGCCGTGTGCTTACAATACAATCATTTAAAATAATTATAAATGGTGGGGAAAAAGTCATCTATTGCAATGGCACCCCAAATGCGTTTCCCCACCCACTGTGTGATTGTCTGCACAGGAATGCACGGTACCACAATGCCGTGCGTTCAAGTGCAATTGCAAAAAATTGTGTATGCGGTTTTATTCCGAAGTAAACTTTGTAACACTGCATTTGTGTATTTTATTTTAAATTTAAAGATTAAATTTATTTGATTTTTTTTATTTGATCGAAAAATAAACGGCCAACTAATCAATTAGGAAAATAATCCTTAGTTGCAGCCCTATATTAGTGTGTGACTTCTTTTTTTTTTTGGACAGTGTATTTGTTTTGTCTGTCTGTGTGTCGGTTATTAGCTACTTTGCATTCGGCAGCCTTCCCATCTCCAAAAACTAAGAAATAAAAAGTTTTAGGTTTAGAAAGTAAAACAGAACAACATTATGGGTTATTTAATTTGCTTGTACCATGCTTTGCGTATGTAATGTGACTCTGAACTTGCTAGGCAATTTGTCTAATTCAGGAGGAGTTAATTCCTAGCACAGCCCTATCTCTCCTTGCACATCATAGCCCTTTCCTGTTCTGGGAGTGTGAGCTACTTTTGTGCTGGCCTCCACCTCTACCCTTACCTCCCCACATAGTCTTTTATGTAGCCGCTGGGGGAGGAGTCAATATTAGAGTGTCACTTAAGCGACATCACATCATGACATCACATCCAAAATAGCGGTGCCCAGCAGCAGTCTCAGGGCTTTTGGATTTCAACACACGGGAGGCTTTTGCAGGTAAATAACATGCATAAGATATTTTAAATGCACTTGTAAGCTTGTGGAAGATTGTTGCCGAAATATTCCGGTGATCTTGTCTCTCTAAATAGTTTGTATTATAACTTGAGCATTATGTGCTGTTATGACACCTGTTCTTTCCTTGTAGGTGTTCCCCAGCCATTTCACACAGCAGAGGACCAAAGAGTGCAATGTAGAAAACAGTGAAAATAAGGAGAGGAATATAAAAGTGACTTGTAGCCCCTGTGTTACTCTGTCTAGCAACAGTGGGCCCAGCAATATCTCTACGGACTTCTGGGACTTGTTAGTTAAATTAGACAACATGAATGTGAGCCGGAAGGGGAAAACCTCTGTGAAGTCTTTGCCTGTGAGCTCTGGAGCCGAAGCGGAAAGCTTGCAGGGCAGTTTGGAGGCCTCACCGTTGGGACAGCTCATGAATATGTTGTCCCACCCCGTCATTCGACGGAGTTCGCTGCTTACCGAGAAACTGCTTAGACTTCTCTCCCTTATTTCCATTGCCTTGCCCGATAACAAATTGCCTGATGGTGTGACTAGTCAAAGCAATGCAATCACTCCTGTACCCGCCCCCACCCCTGCAACTGCACCAGTACCTCTCCCTGTACCTGCCGTATCTGTGCCGATAGTCGTCAACCCAAGTGTAGTATCAAGTGAGTATTGCTTTATCTTCCCATACACTAGGTTTGTGCAACCTTGAGCTCATTGCTCTATTGTATGCATTTTTACAAGAATTCTGGTTTACAAGCAACTTGAGTGATTTTTGATTTAACTTTTCTTTCCTTTTTGTAAAGCCGTGATGAAAAGTATCAAGTCTACAGCTAAGTCGAGCGAGCTCAATGTGCCTGACAAGATGGCAGCTGCTGGGCTTACAGAAAAACAGCTACAGCTTTCTGTTGAGGTAAGAGGCCATTGGGGCTGATGCTGAAAGTTTAAAAAGCTATACATTTAACACAGAAGTCGTTTGTAGAACTCTAATGGAATATCCTCTATCCATAACTGAAAAGTAAGCCTCAAAATGCATTTCCTGATCATACATCACCGAATACAGGGAATTCTTGAACGGGTGGGTTATGCAGCTCAGACAGGAAGTGTTGCTGGCAAGTAGAAAGCAGAAATCACCAGCACTCACTAAATATCTTTGATGACCATTTAATCGGACCAATTGTCATGTACAAAATAGCAACGTTGCAGGACCGCACAGGATCCCTTCATCAGGGCGACAATGTAACAAGTGTTGCTGGCAAGTTCACCAGGTGAAAATAAAGGGGGGGGTTCTACAGACTGATAAGCTGCAATATATTACATTTTTGTTCTTGGGTTTCAATACACTCAAATCTATAGTTACATAATCCACTTCCACTGGATGCAACATGCTTTGTGTTTGTCACTTCTCTGCAGCTGCACCCAATTCTCAATATGTCATTTTGGGAGTACCTGACCTATATGGTCTCCGCAATGTGTTACCAGAACATCATTGCCTAATAGAAACAGGCTTTGTCTTACCTGTAAAATCAGTTTTTTGGAGTACATCATGGACACAAAGTTAATTCTTGAATGGATGGGTTACGCAGCTAGCTATAGGTAATTGCACACTGGAAAATCAAAGCTGTTTGGGCAGCCCTGTATAACCCCTCCTATTCCCAGCCTGCCTCAGTTTTTGTTTTTTTGCTACTGTCCTTCAGCAATAGACGCCTTCTATCTGCTCTGAGAGAAGTACTTGCTTTTCTAATGGACTGTTCTAACAAGTTTCTCCAAATGCTGCTCAAGGACCCCGGAGCACCGAGACCTGTTGGAGATGTAACTCAGACCGAAGAACATTGCTCCATTTATTTTGGTCATGCACCCTCCTTCAGACCTAGTTGGACCTGTTTGTGTGTCTGCTACAGCTTCTATTTGCATGTCACCTCTTGGTCATTCCTAAGACTCCCTTTCCTGGGGCAGCCAGCTTCTTGTTCAGCTATTGCTTGATGTATTTGGCATATTATCAATTGAAGGTTAAAGTTCTCCCCTTTCTAGTAACGGCTTGCTCTACATAGTGTTTAGTGCTTTTGGGCCTTTTAGCCTCAAGCTTCAATTTCCAAAATCTGCAAGGCTTGCCACCAGGTTCACTTTTACCAAGACCTCTGCAGATGCTACCTTAACCCTGTTTGCTGTTGCCTTTCCCTGTGTTGGTCTGCTTTTTGGATCTCCTATCCATTCCAAAATTAGTTATCGATGTCCTGTAATGTACGATCAAGTAAACAGGATTTTTGTCTCTGTAAAAATCCATCCGGTAATCTTCCTGTCACTGTCATGCTCATTTTCTGTACTGTAACTATGGAGAAGCAGCGTTGTCACAGGACTACTATTTCCCCCTCTCCTCTTCTCCACATTATCTGTGCCAACATAGGGCAGTGGAGCGGGAGATCAGGAAACACTTCTGCTTTAAAAAGTAATTTTAGAGCATTTTTTTTAAAGTGAAAAGGAGTTAAAACTCACAATATGCCACCCTACAGGACTATAAAGGCAAACAATGGACTTAAAGTGCTAAAAGGGTAGTTCTTTTTTTCAGTGCTGTGTTTAACATCAGATTCTTTTGTTCAAGGTGCTGACATCTCATTCGTGTTCAGAGGAAGGCTTGGAGGATGCAGCAAATGTGTTGCTGCAACTGTCCAGAGGTGACCCTGGGACACGAGACACTGTACTCAAGCTGCTGCTCAGTGGAGCCCACCATTTAGGCTACACCCTATGCAAGCAGATAGGTAAGCACTAAAGTAAATGCCTAGGCTTGGTTTCTGCAAGGCAAACTGATGCCTTTAGTATAATATGTTGTATATTAAAATTATATATCCTTGTTTTATCACCCAACCAGGTACTCTTTTAGCGGAATTACGAGAGTATAATCTTGATCAGCAGAGGAGAATACAGTGTGAGGTACTTTCACCTGATGGGTTGCCTGAAGAGCAGCCTCACAACACCAAACCCAAGGGTAAAATGCAAAGCAGGTGAGTGTGTACCCCTGGAGTCATCACTGCTTGGTAATTGTGATTGCTTATGTATTATTCAGAGGAATAGAATTTACTGTCAGATCTCATGCTACTATGTCTTTGCAATCTAGGTTCGACATCGCAGAGAATGTTGTTATAGTTGCATCACAGAAACGGCCATTAGGGGGACGAGAACTCCAGTTACCCTCAATGTCCATGCTGACATCAAAGACCTCCACACAGAAATTCTTCCTTCGAGTGCTACAGGTCATCATTCAGCTCAGAGATGACACCAGGAGAGCCAACAAGAAAGCCAAGCAGACCAGTAGATTAGGTAGGACTTGTCCGGCAATGTGGTTATCATAGGTAAAGGATATTTGCTTTAAGCGGCAATTTCTTCCTTGATGTCCGAACCGATGGTTTAAAAGAAACCGGTCATCACTGAATTATAAGATGCCATTGCAGGATTGTATGTGTAAGCACCACAACTGTTATCCTTCTATTACTTTGCAAGCTACTGTTCAAGAACTAGTATATGCATATCAGTATGTTGCTGATGCATAACAAGCAGCAGTGTCTGGACAGCCAAGTATCAAAGTGTGGCTAAGGATGACAGAATTGGAATGTGCACCTTCATAAACAATTCAGCACTGGCAGCTCCCATGTATCTGTTGCCAGGTTTCTTTTAAAGTGGCATTCGTCATTGCTTTTCATGGAAGATATTATTGAATTGTTTGACATCTGCACTTACTGATGCTCTCTAAGGCTGGGTTCACACCTGAGCGTATTTTTTCAGCTCGTTTTTTGGCACGTTTTTCCATTCAGTGAAACGTGCGTTTCACTGGCGGTATGATTTTTTTTGGGGGGGGGGGATTTCCTTATTTAGTAAGACCTGTACGCTGTATTCCCGAGTGTGGCTCGGGGTTTACGCTTGGTTAACCCCGATCCACACTCGGGGATACCAATGGAAACGCACGGAAAAACGCCCCAAAGAAGCTCCTGTACTTCTTTGGGCGTAGGGCGTTTTTCAGCGCGTTTCTACGCTATGTAAAACGCGCAAGGGGGAACCATGCCCATAGGCAATTATTGGTTTTCACATGTTGAGCGTTTTACAGCGCGTAGGAAAGCGCTGTAAAACTCCCAGGTGTGAACCAGGCCCAACACATTTATTTCTCAGTGGTGCTACTGTTTTCTTCAACATTTCCAGGAGGGTTGGAGACTTTCTCAACATTAAAAACCGCAGCTGCTCCCATTTGCATGTTTTTTTTCTGAGTGAATGTGATTTTTATTTCTAGAAAAATCACATTCAAGATGTTAGAGGGTTGTCTATGCAGAATGCCCAAACGTACTATCGTTACTTGGTCCATGAATGTCTACATTGAATTACTGACATCTCGTGTCTTTTGGCAGTCTTGGAAAAGATTAAAGGTGCCCATAAACATTAGATGTTTCCTTTCTGACATTCTTATGTAAAACCTAGACTGCCTCATGCATTGCTTTAACAGGAGTGCTTGTGGGACTATTGCCCATCAAGTTAGGGGGCAAAGTATCCCAAAATGCTTGTTTGACTTTTCCATTATATCCACTAGGGCCAACTATAAACTAAGGCCAGCTAATGAAAGGGGGGGCGGTGAATGAATGGGCTGGGTAACCAGTTAGGTTTTTTATATATATATATTTTTTTTTTAGTGACTAGATTTCAGTTTTAAATGGCTGCTAAACTTGAATGTAATGATCTTTTTTGACAAATACAATACTTGATTAAAAGAATGCCTTTTATATGTGTCTGGAGTTCAGCTTCTGACTCACTGGCTTTCCTAAGCATGCTGGAATTAATTTGTTTTGAGCAAATGATGACTGAATATGGTGGTGTGACCGCATTGACTTACTGTCATTATCTTCTTGCAGGAGCTGCCAGTCTGGCCTCTGCTAGCAGCATCCAGGCAGCTGTGCAGCAGCTGGAGGCTGAGGCTGATGCCATTATACAAATGGTACGTGAGGGTCAAAGGGCGCGGAGACAGCTGCAAACTGCAACGGTTAGCATGATGACTGGCGCTGGCAGAACATCCATCCTTAGTTTGTTCCTCCCTGTTTTTTATTTTATGTCTGAGCTTTTTACTTATTCAGCTTTTAATTGGCCTGTTTAGAAACTGTTCCATGTACTCTTGTTTGTTGCTTATTAAATAATCATACTAGTTATCTGTCAATCTTTTGCATGTTTTCCCCTGCTTATAGTGGCATTGAAGCACCTTGCTTTGCAAATCTATACTAGATGTTGAACGCATGGCATTATACAGTGTGCTGTTGCTGTGCGTCACTTATCTCCTGCTATCATCACCCTGCTCACCTTTCTACCCCCTTTTGTTTCACCCCATAGCAATAAACGTCCTCCTAACGCTTCTTTGTTTTCTTTAGGCCGAAGGCTCTGCACGCAGGGAGGAGTCTCCAATGGATGTTGACCAGCCTTCACCTGCTACACAGGATACTCAGCCAGTTGGTCAGTGTAAAACCAGTGGGTGGGAATGGATGGTTTTGGGATCTGGGAAATGTCTTTATCCATAGGGTTCTGAGCATTTCTTGTAATCACTAGGTGCCGAAGGATCTCAAGCTGCAGAGAAGAAAGAGGAGGAGAGACTACCAGAGTTGCCACTGTTGAGTGATCAACTGAGCTTGGATGAACTGTGGGACATGTTAGGAGAGTGTTTGAAAGAGCTGGAGGAGTCACATGACCAGCATGCTGTACTAGGTATAATATGGCATCATGTACACCCTACTGCAAATGGGCCTTCGTTAACGGGCATGTGTTTGCATCAGGCGGGTTTTTCGTTCAACTTATTGGGAGTGAAATACTCAAAGCGGGTCAGAAGGAGGTAGACTGCAGGTCGAATTAATCTGTCAGTGAATTCTGAACTGATGTCAAACTGACACTAGTAACCCAAGCCCAAAGCCTATTGACACAGGCCCAAGATATTAGGCATCAATAAGGAGGTTACAAGAATATAATTACACAAAGCTTCAGACCATAGGAACATCTGCTGTTTATTAAGATTATAGTTAGCAAAAGTGCTAGTCAATTAACAGAAGGGTTTCTTATAAGCTGCTGCATTGTATTCCTAAACTGTATGCATGCAGCATTAATGTGTGCGTCTCTCTCTTTCCTCTCAGTACTTCAGCCAGCTGTAGAAGCCTTTTTCCTGGTCCATGCAACGGAACGAGAAAGCAAGCCACCTGTACGGGATACTCGGGAAAGCCAGCTGGCTCACATAAAAGACGAGCCTCCTCCCTTGTCCCCGGCACCTCTCACCCCCGCAACGCCTTCTTCCTTAGATCCTTTCTTTTCAAGGGAACCCTCATCTATGCACATCTCATCCAGCTTGCCTCCTGACACACAAAAGTTCCTGCGCTTTGCAGGTAAGGCCCTTTGAAGCATGCTAATTCCTTAGAATAATCTCTTGGAAATGTTGCAACGTTTGATTGACTATAAATCTGTCAGTGTTGCAATATTACATAGCATTTGTCTCTCCGTGCTTTTTAACTTGGTCATGTTCAGTAATGTAAAATGTGCAAATCGAAAACCTGTGATACCACTCTTGGCTCACATTATCAGAATTTTGCATAATTTTCCCCCAAACCTGCAATCTGATTCAGACATTAAATCTAGAGGTGCACTGGAATGGAAATTTCAAAACCGAAATGTAAAAAATTTGTCTTACCGAAACCAAAAAAATTTTATTAGTTTTTTTTAAATCTTTAAAAAATATTTTGCTTTTATTTATTTTTAATCACTTTTTATTAAATATTTTTATTTTTTACTTTACGTTTAGGGGCTTCTGGTAACTATCAGGGGTCTAAACAGACCCCTGATATTTCCCTTTTTAAAATCGAAAAAAGATTGAGGACACAGAGTCCTCCATCTCTTTTTCTGCAGCCCCTGTTATCAATGAACAGGAATCCTCTATACTGAGTGTTCCTGTTCATTCATAACATGAGGACAGAGTATGGTTACTATAACCACAATCATGAATGAACAGGAGGTGATGTAGATCACTTCCCATTCATTCATAATTGAGTATATAGTAACCACACGCAGAGATCGCTGAATGTTTTGTATCTGTTCTCAGCTGTCACAAGCTGAGCGAGCGGTGCAGGGAGGAGAGCTCAGCCTCCTGTGACAGCGTGGGCTGTCTCCGCCCACACTCCGCTCTGCCGGACTGTGATAGGAGGCTGGAGCGGTGTGGGAGTAGAGACGCCGGCAGCTCACAGCGCTCTCCTCCTGCAGCACTCGGCCAGCTGTCAAACTTTCTCTCCTCCCCGCTCGGACACAGAGCAGCGCCCAGCGGGGAGGAAAGAAAGTAGGGATGCGCCTCTATCAGCAAAAAAAATTTACTACTTAAATCCTCTGTCATTTTGCAGTGAATTATAAATTTAGGTGCTTAGCAGACACACAACCTGATACTGTGCAAGCTTACTGTCCAGTTGTACCGTAAATTGTAATATTGCTCAGATTTAAAAATTTGTTGTGCTCTCCCTCAGTATGTGTAACTGAAAAAATAAAGTCTTCTCACATCTTTTCTTATTTTCTTCAGAGACTCACCGCACTGTGTTAAACCAGATCCTCCGCCAGTCTACAACTCATCTAGCTGATGGACCTTTTGCTGTTCTTGTTGATTATATCAGAGTCCTGGACTTTGATGTCAAACGCAAGTATGTACAGTCAAAGCTTTTACAAATAAGTTGTTCCATGCTGTCAGTTGCACTAGTCAAATACCTGGCTTTATAGGACATCTTGGTTTTTTTTTTACAAGCTACTGTAATAGTTTAGTAATCTTTATCCTTATGTTTTTCCCTTGTTCATCTTTCTGAAAAGATATTTCCGCCAAGAACTTGAGCGGTTAGATGAAGGACTGAGGAAGGAGGACATGGCTGTACATGTCAGACGAGACCATGTGTTTGAAGATTCTTACCGGGAACTGCACCGTAAATCCCCAGAAGAAATGAAGAACAGATTGTAAGTGTCGCAGGAATTGTTCTCCAATGGTGTGTTGCATCAGATGGATTCCTTGGAAAATAATAACTCTGGATAGTGAGGAAGGTTTAGAACCTCTGTCAGGTTTTATTGCTTTTTTTCCATCTGGGGGGCATTTCCCTTACATTCTGTCCCAGAGGCACTACGGAAAGGGAAATCAAATTCCCATTTCCAAATTCTACCCCGCTCTATCTCATGGGGGGAATTTGTCTGAAGTTCCACTTTAAATCAAACTGTATGATTTTGTAATGCCTTCTTTAGATAGAGAAATCGACTTTACACCATTCCCAGGTCTTATTTCTTCATACAGTGGGCTTAGAGCAGGCAGTGACTTGCAGACCTGAAGTGCTATAGAAGTTGCAAGAAAAAAAACTTTCTGGTGAACAAGAGCAAAATGAAGATCAACAGATAATGGCAAATTCCTTAATCAAGGATATTTTGATATACCGTATATTTACTCGAGTCAGCGCCAGCGCGTCATCTTACTTACCTCGCCGAGCGTCGCGTCACTGCTGCTCGGTGTGCGGCGCTCCGAGCGGGGTCATCTGGCAGTCTCCGGCCACCTAAATTAGGACCCGGAGACTGCCAGATGACCCCGCTCGGAGCGCCGCACACCGAGCAGCAGTGACGCGACGCTCGGCGAGGTAAGTAAGATGACGCGCTGGCGCTGACTCGAGTATAAGCCGAGGGGGGCACTTTTCACCCAAAAAAATGGGCTGAAAATCTCGGCTTATACTCGAGTATATACGGTATACCCCAAGGAGTTTGATTGGCACAGAATTATTGCAATGCACAAGTTCTTTGGGATACATGGCCTTGGTGGAAGAGGTAGGATGTGCTTTTTAGAAAAAGTACAGGTGAAGAGGAGCGGCCTTCTCCCTAATTGGCTTTTTTGCTTCCTGATTATGTCTGTAAAGGTGGATGTGCCTCTTGTATCATGGAGTCATTATAAAGCATATATGTTTTTCTGCCTACAGGTATATAGTATTTGAAGGGGAAGAAGGTCAGGATGCTGGAGGACTCCTAAGAGAGTGGTACATGATCATCTCCAGAGAAATGTTTAACCCCATGTATGCCCTGTTCCGCACATCTCCTGGGGACCGTGTCACCTACACAATTAACCCCTCTTCCCACTGCAACCCCAACCACCTCAGCTATTTCAAGTTTGTTGGTCGGATAGTTGCAAAGGCAGTGTACGACAACAGGCTACTGGAGTGCTACTTCACACGCTCTTTCTACAAACACATCTTGGGCAAATCAGTCAGGTATGTAGTCATCGCATTATGCCGAGCTCTGTTTATATGTCACATATTTCACAATGTCTTGGTCATTTCTAGATTTTTCTCCAGGTTTTTTTGTTTCTGTCCTGTGATGGACTACAATCTCATGTTTAGTTTGTATTAAGATTGTAGTCCATCATGGGAGTGAGCTTGGAGCGGTGCTAAGTGTGCGGAACAAAGGGAGGGATATGTGTGCAAAATAAAAAAACAGTCAGTACTTCTTTTCAATACATGCACGTTTCCTGTGTTTTGTCTGCAAAATAATGGTTGAACCTGCCAGATATCCAGACCATACCCGTGCTCTCTGGCCATGTTGCACCTAACAGTCCCCGTTTTCAGACCTCCCTAGGTCTCCTCTGAACTACAGAACACCACAAATCAGAAGTGAGCCACGGAGGGTGAAAACGCTGCTCCTCCATAGACCGTGAAATGTGTGGTCACTTACAACCCCCCACACTACAAGGCTTAAATGCTTGTTTTGTCTGGGGGGGGGGGCTAAAATAAATCCGATTATACTCACCTCAGTCCTGCAGTGATCAGCGCTCATTTCTCTCCCCCTCTGCTCTGGCTTGTCACTTGGCATCCTAACATCTTAATGCAAGTCAATGGAACTGCATTAGGCATGATGTCAGCGGTCCTTAGTCTGCCGGGGACCGGTCTAGAAGTCAGACAGGACCAAACATCACGTGAGCATACTCCCCTTTTTTTTTAGCCCCTAGACAAAACAAGCACTTCTTTAAACAAAAGAACACCGCGCTATCTACCCCCTGTGTTCAGTCTCCTCTAAGAGTTAAATGATGGCTCCAGTGTATAAATCAGAGGATCTCAGTCCTCCTCAACCAGTTTTTAATCAAGCGGTGTTTCTTGATCAATTAAAAACAATCACTTAACCCTTGCAGTGTGGGGATAAGTTATTTAAATTTCTGGAATTCTTCTTTTGAGAAATCTGGCACCTTTTGGTATAAGTGGTGTAAGGCATGCTCCTATTCCAAGAGTGCATTCCACCTGGAGAAATACTTACCTTGGTCTGCAGTCTAGCGATCTTCACCACGTAGCTCTGTCCGGAGCGGTTAAGCGTCCTTTTAGAATCATCTGCATGTGTACTGCATCCTCATTCATTCCTATGGGGAGAATTGTACTTGTCAGGATCTCTGGAGGCCGCCATAAGTAAGACTCCCCATAGGAATGGATCTGCAATTGCTTGGGTACATTTTCTGTACATCACAAATGCACACAATTGAGTTTCCTTATGTCACACATCCAATGGCCTGTATATGAGCACATGCCATCTGCATAAAAAATTCAAAGATTTGTGGCTTTTTCTATAATTTCCTTTTGTAAGGTTTTTGTTGTCCCGACACTTGGTATTGACATTGAGAAATGCTAGACCCCATATCCACAATACAACTTTTACGTTGCAGATACACTGACATGGAGAGTGAGGATTATCACTTCTACCAGGGACTGGTCTACCTGCTCGAGAATGATGTCTCCACACTGGGTTATGATTTGACATTTAGCACTGAGGTAATGTAATGTTATATTGTATGCGGGGTCATCCTGAGTGAATCACCTCAGATGGAGGGATTTATAGGTCGCCTTACTCAAAGGCCCCAATAGTTCCCGCTGTCCTTACATTCTCCTTTCTCTGTTTTAGGTCCAGGAATTCGGAGTGTGTGAAGTGCGTGACCTGAAGCCCAATGGTGCAAATATTATAGTCACAGAAGATAACAAGAAGGAATATGTCCACCTTGTGTGCCAGATGAAGATGACAGGTAAAGAATCAGGCAGCCTGTTTTTAGTATGTGGTGCTTGTAGCTGTTCTGTTTATAAAGCTAGCACTGGGAAGTACTGCAAGCTGCCATTACCGACCATTCCTACTGAAACTGCTTGTTTCCTGGCTGTCATGCTGGTGCATTGTCTTAAGTCGTTACTGAGTCACTGATTGGAAGCAAATAAACCAATGAGGAATTCAGACTAATTTTTCGGTATGCATGTTCAGTGATTGTGACGCATGGACTTGACACCTGATAGCCAGGCAACAGAATTGACTGCCCCCATATTTCTGTCATGGCAGGCCCACTTCTGTTCGTTTCCTAGCAGTCTGGATGTCTGAGTAGCCAGAAAAGGAAACCTGTATTGAGAGATTTGTAGGTTGCCATTGCTGAACTCCCCAAAATTGTTGCCTAGATTTGGCTTCAGTTCTTTCTCCTTCACCCACTCCAAGTATACAGATCAGTAATTTAGTTTCGGCCTGCATGCTTAACCATGTCAGCGGTGTATGAAGTACTGAGGCTATGTTCACACCATGCCAAGACCAGATCTGGCGCACATCTGCTAACGCAGTGCATTTTGAAGCGATTTTTACCATGTTTTGGTGCAGGTTTTTTTTTTAAAGCTTAAAATGGGCTTTCAAATGCAGTCCCTTCCAGTGCGTTGCCTTGCATTTGTATGCGTTTTTGATGCGTTCCAGTGCATTCCAGAGAAAATGAGACGAGCAGTATTTTTTTTGTCTGGTCCGGAACGGACTGCCCTGGTGTTTACAGAGCACCGAAAATACCATCGGGATGTTTTTTTGATCCGGGAACAAACTGTTCTGGTCTGGACATGGTGTGAACAAGCCCTGAAGGCAACATAGCAGCTAGCATTTATGGCACGAGGTCCACCTTGGCTGTCTTGCGTGCATTGCTGACTTCCTGTTATGGGCCATTGTGTTAGAATGCATGTGTCCGTTATCTATAACACATTCCTTTGTCTTCTGCTTCCAGGTGCCATTCGTAAGCAGTTAGCTGCTTTCTTGGAAGGGTTCTATGAAATTATCCCCAAGCGTCTCATCTCCATCTTCACAGAACAGGAACTGGAGTTGTTAATATCTGGGCTGCCCACAATAGACATTGATGACTTGAAATCCAACACAGAGTATCATAAGTACCAATCCAATTCTATCCAGGTGAGTACTTTACCGAATGCGTGGCAGAAGAAGCAGTCATTTATTTCTATATGCAGAGATTTTGAACAATAGACTTTCATTTGATTTAAAGCTGAACTCCAGTTAAAAAAGAATTGAGACTTTTGGGTTCTGGACAGCTTTCTTCAGCCCTCTATCTCTGGGCTCAGGCTGTCATGGAGCCGGCCTTTCCTTAACACCACGGCAGCCTAATCGTTTTTGTGTAAAATGTCTCTAATAAGAGTCACTGCTTGGGTAACTTCTTTCAGTGCAACTGTGTGCTTCACATAGAGCTGCGCCTGCCAGCTAGATAGCAAACTACATCAGTAGTATGCATCATATCATGGTTAACGAAGTAAACCCAGAAAAATGTAATTTTATTTTTTTAGTCCTGACCAGAAAAGTGATTAAAAACCATCCCATTCCCTTCAACTGTTTAAGAAATCCTATCCTGTTCCATGCGTGAAGTTTTTGAATTTCCATAATTTCAATTCTTGTGGTTTTTCATACAATGACTTGTAATGGGTGTTAGGTGGAGTAAAACATATGGATAGACTGTACTATACCGCTGTCTTATTTTTCTTATTAAAGATTCAATGGTTCTGGAGGGCGCTGCGCTCTTTTGACCAAGCAGATAGAGCCAAATTTCTTCAGTTTGTCACTGGAACCTCCAAGGTACCTCTCCAGGGCTTTGCCGCACTTGAGGGAATGAACGGCATCCAAAAATTCCAGATACACCGAGACGACCGCTCCACAGACAGGCTGCCTTCTGCTCACACGTGGTAAGTAACAAAGTGCAGCCATATAGTGCACATTAAGGTTGTCGGGTGCGTGTATGTTCACAATCAATGCAACACCAGGAGGTAGTGTGGAGGAGGATGAACAGTCACATGTTTACTGATGAGATCAAATCCTTGATGATTATCTCTGTTATTAAAACACATTGAGAGATGATACAAATAACCACTTGCCAAGCATGCGGGTGAGAGAGACCTGAAATGGCCCCCAGACCTCTTTATAACAGATATAGAAAACTGAGTGGAGCTTGATGTGGAGTAGGGCTTCGCTAGTCTCTATAGGTGGAACATTCTTAAATACCCTAACCCCTTCCTGCGCTAATGTAGATTAGTGTTCCACTGTATGATGCCCCGTGCAGAGGATACATTACGTTTGAAGCTGCAGCACCTTCTGGTGATCGCTCTGATCTCTAGGGGGAAGTTGGCTCAGCAACCACTTTGCCTTGATCAAGTTATGGGCATGATGAACCTTTTCACTGCCACCATTGTAGCTCTAACGGCCAGGCATTGATAGGATGAAAGCCCGGCAGGGTCATGCCTGTGGTCTCTCGCTGTAGTAGGGATTCGGGCAGCTGTGCAGCCACCTGAACACTTCTACATGTGAATGGGTGGCCGTGTACGTGAGTAAGGCACCACCTATACATGTGGTTAGGACACATACGTCTTGTACATCCCTGCACGTGCCAGAGTTAGAACAATCAATTTAGGGCCTTCATTTTAGTGTAACTCTGATTGGTGGGCTCTGACGGTTTCTCATGCATTGCCCATTTAAGATTTTGATCTTAGGTGTGTTTTTTTGTTTTTTCAGTTTTACAAGCGGTCATCATTATTATTCTATAAAAGTTTCCTTTTTAGGTCATTAGTGTGTCATCTTTAAGCCATTCACAGTGGCCCCTCTACATTAACAGTCTCAGACCGGCTGGTGATTTCTAAGGATGGGCTCGGGCGTGTTCGCAGCTCCACATGCCGAGCCCGCCAGGAAGCTGGCATCGCCAATCACAGGTACTGAGACATTTTCCCGGTACGCAGCTGCACAGATCCGGAAATGTCTCAGTGCCTGTGATTGGCGCTGTCAGCTTCCTGGCGGGCTCGGCACGTGGAGCTGCGAACACGCCCGAGCCCATCCTTGGTGAATTCCAGCCATTGTCCTGGAAAATGCCTACACACTGGTTTATTGACCAAACCTAGACGTATTTGAGGTCCCTGTACTCCGGGATAAATCACAGAAAATAATTTATTGTAAATATATGGAATAGTATGAACAAAACTTACATTCTTGTTTTGTATTGTTGTACATTTCTCTGCTTAGTATAAATACATACTGTATATACGGAGTATTTTTCAATACAAACAAAGTTAATTATAAGGCCCCATATGTGTGAAAATCTTTGACACATAACAAGGCAAAGTAAAATGCTGTATACCGAAACTTCAAAATGTAATCTGGTCACGAGGATATTGGATTACCCCAGGACCATTACAGTATTTAAATCTTTTGTAATTGAGTAAACCTGGCCACTGCCTATATTTCCTGACTTTTCGGGATACAGATTACCACTTCAAAGATAAAATGACATTTGACAATTGAGCGGTAAACATGTCATTGCTGTACGTTAACTTTTATCTTGTTTGTTCAGTTTTAACCAGTTGGATCTACCAGCCTATGAGAGTTACGAGAAGCTACGTCACATGCTGCTTTTGGCCATTCAGGAGTGCTCTGAGGGGTTTGGCCTGGCCTAGGATTGCCCCCGCTGTATAATGTTTTCTACTGTTGGACTTCAAGAGAGAGGAAAAAAGCAAAACCAAGCCATGCATCTATCTTGCTCACCCTGCTGGCACCAAGAAGAGGGACTTGCCTTCTAAAGCTGCCGCCTGTCTTCGGTTCCCTTCCAATGGCGAACTGGCTGTGCTGAGACTTGAAATCACTGCTCTGGGGGAATGTAGAGAACGGAGAGGAGCAGGGGGGAAAATTATATATAAGTATATAAATATATATATTTTTCTGTTTTGCTTTTCTTCAGTTTTGCCTAAAGGATGAGTTGACACACACAGCTCTTCAAAAATAAAACACAAAAAAAAAATCAAAAAAAAAAAAAACCTCTGAACGCAGGGTAGAGAAGCTGGTGAAAAATGGTAACGTAAATTTCTGCAAATATGTGAAACAAAATAACACAAAAGAACCTTTTTGGAGGAGAAGAAAACTAGAGCACTCTCATTCTGAAATAGCCACTATTCCCTACGCTATTTTTTCAGCTTCAAATAAAAATTCGGAGGTGTTTACCTGTAAATAAACCACTGAATGGAGTTTCCTGATTAATACGTTTTTTTTTATTTTTATTATTATTATTTGTTCATGCCCCGTTTCTGGTGGTGGTTGGAAGGTTTTTTAGGGAAGGTTTGGGAAGTAGAGTTGGGATGAAAGGTGCGAGTGGGTAGGATCGAACAACAGAGCCTATGAAGACTTGGGTTGAGAGGGACCGACAGCCGTTAAAGTTGTGTGGCCTTTTAGACCTTGCGAAGACATTTCCCACCTTTCCTATTAGATCTCTTCTTTGTGAGAGTGTGAAGTGACGGGACACGTAAGACGCAGAGAGAGGAGCAGTTAAATTGCATCGGGGGAGTAAAATGTAAACACGAATACACAATCTAGCCAAGGGTTAATTTCCCCCACCCCATATTTATATTTTTTTTCTTTTTCCCCGGTCCCTATTAGGTTT